TTTAAGTTCTGCGATTCCTTCTTCAGATGTCAGTGTTAATGGGTACTATCCTTTGATTCGTAAAGAATCCAATAGTCACATGCTAGGTTTAGGGGTATACATACGCATTAATTCCCCTATTTGTCATGAAATCAGGTTCGAATCCTTTGACCATCCTTTTATGTGCTTTCGTCTAGCACCTCTTCACTCTATCACCTTTCTCTTTGTTCTTTATCGTTCTCCTTCTTCCCATGATTGCACTCTTTTAGATGTTATCTCTGATTTGACCATGCCCTCTCTCTTTACCCCTCTGCCAATATTGTTGTTGTTGGTGATTTTAATGCCCATCACACTGAATGGTTTGGCTCTAACACCACTGATCCTGCTGGCACTAAAGCTTTTAACTTCAACGTTTCTCAATCTCTTACTCAGATAGTTAACTTTGTGACTCGTTTTCCTGACAACTCTAATCATTTACCTTCACTCCTTGACTTATGTCTTGTCTCTGACCCTAACTTATGTTCAGTTTCTCCTTTTTCTCCCGTAGGTGGTTCTGACCATGCGATGATCTCTATAAATCTTTCTTCTCGTACTTCTGTTTTGGGCTCACCTTATCATCGCACCACCTACTACTACCCTAAAGCTGACTGGGATTCCTTTCGTGATTTTCTTTGTGATGGTCCTTGGGCTGATGTTTTTTCTCTCTCAGCTGACAAATGCGCCTCCTACATAACCTCCTGGATTCAGGCTGGAATGGAAGCTTTTATTCCTTCTTGTCGGTTTGAAGTCAAGCCTCATTCTACTCCAGGGTTTTCTCCTTCTTGTGCGGCTGCTATATCCAATCGTAATCATTTTTTTCATCTTTTTCAAAAGAACAACTCTCTTGAGAACAAACAGCTATTTATTATTGCAAGAAATCGATGTAAAAAGGTGCTTTCTGATGCTAAACTCCATTATTCTCAGTTCACTAAATCTCGCATCTTATCGCAGGAGTTAGGCTCTAAAGACTTTTGGAAAATCTTCAACAGCATTGTTAACAAGGGTAGATCTAACATTCCATCTCTCTCAGAACTATTTGCAAAGAACTTTTCTTCTAATTCCACTCTTGAATCTTATGGACATTCTCTTCCTTCCATTCCAGTCAAACAGGTTGACCCATTGTTAGACATTCAAATCACTCCGGCTTCTGTTGCTAAAGTCATATCTCAATTAAACTCATCTACAGCTTGTGGTCCAGACAACATTCCTGTCACAGTCTTGCAGAATTGTTCTCCAGAACTTTCTTCAATTCTCTCTAAACTATTTAACAAGTGTTTGACTGAGTCTTGTTTTCCTGCTTGTTAGAAAATGGCATCTGTGGTTCCAATATTCAAAAACTCTGGAGAAAATTCTGACCCCTCCAATTATCGTCCGATCAGTCTTCTTTCTCTTATTAGCAAGATCTTTGAGTCTTTGATCAACAAATTCCTCACATCTCATCTTGAGTCAAATAAACTGCTGTCAGACAATCAATACGGTTTTCGATCCTCTCGCTCTACGGCCGACTTGCTAACTGCTGTAACTGAAAGATTTTATCATGCATTAGATGGAGGGGGTAAAGCTAGGGCTATTGCTCTTGACATATCTAAAGCTTTCGACAAAGTTTGGCATGCTGGTCTTCTCCATAAGCTTGCTTCATATGGTGTTTTTGGGAAAGTTTTTGAGATTATCAAATCATTTCTTTCTAACCGTTTTATTAAAGTCATCCTTGAAAGCCAACACTCTTCTTTATTTCCAGTAACTTCTGGGGTTCCCCAAGGTTTCATCCTGGGCCCTGTTTTGTTTCTTATCTACATAAACGATCTTCCTGACAACCTTTCATCTAAAGTAGCTCTTTTTGCTGATAACTCAACTCTATACTCCTGTCTTGACAAAAAGTCTTCTCTTTTCGATCGCCTAGAACAAGCAGCTGATCTTGAATCTGATCTCACTTCAGTAATAGATTGGGGTTCACAGTGGCTTGTGAATTTCAACACTAAAAAAACCCAATTGCTTACTGCAAACAACTACCATAATATGGTCAACATTCCTATATTAATGAATGGCAATCCTCTTACTGAGTCCTCCTCTTTACGTCTTTTTGGATTATTGCTTACTACTGACCTTTCATGGGAACCATATATACAATCGATTGCTAAATTAGCTTCTGCTAAGGTTGCTTCTCTTTATCGTGCTCGCCATTTCCTTACTTCTGATTCCATTCTCTACCTCTACAAATCTCTTATTCATCCCTGTATGGAATACTGTTGTCATATTTGGGCTGGTTCTTCTAACGATTCACTTTCTCTTCTTGACATGGTCCAAAAACGCATTGTAAATGTTGTTGGACCTGGACTATCTGCTAAGCTTGAACCTCTTTCCCATCGTCGTAAAGTTGCATCTCTTTCTCTTTTCTACAGATACTATCATGGTCACTGCTCAAAGGAGTTATCATTTCTAGTTCCATCAACTAAAATTCATTCTTGTTTTACTTGTCATTCAGCTAAGTCTCATTCGTTTACTGTATCTGTCCCTGCATGCTCTAAAAACTTTTATTCGTCTAGTTTTTTTCCCCGCACTTCAATCCTTTGGAACTCTCTCCCATCTTCATGTTTTTCTGACTCATACAACCTTCAACCGTTTCCTTGCCCTATAACTCTGTTCTTTTTTTTTTTCCTAGTAACTCCCAACTTAATAGTGGTTGCTTGCAGCCTTGTTAGGAGTGAATGCAAATTAAAAAATATATATATATTAGAACTTCCTAATAAAAAGGCCAAACAATTAATTTCTACTCTTCGGAAAGGAATAGGGAGTAAGACTGGGATAAGATATTCGGAAGGACAAGGATAAGACTTCGGAAAGGAATAGGGAGTAAGACAGGAATAGGGAGTAAGACTAAAACTAACATTTTTGGCAAGTTAAATGATCTTTCGGAATCCATATCACATTTTTATCATGTAGAAAAGGTAATTTATATTTTAAATATATTCATATTTATATATTATTTATAGATATCTAGTAATATATTGATCAAAAAATTGCTCTTTTATAATGTTAGATTTTCTAATATAAAATGATATGATAAAAAGAGAGAGATCCTTCACTGTGAAAAAGGATCTTGTTTATGTTCAAGAATCATCATCTTTCACAATGGATTTCATAAACCAATGTGGTTTAGACATTCATTCTGCATTTGTACGAATTTCTATGGATAGTGGAGGATCCTTTTTGAAAATTATAATCAATGTTTTTGATATAAATTAAAAAAAAAAAAAGTCTTCTGTAATGTACATGAATAGTGGTGTTCAACGTTTTCAAATTCTTGCTATTGTTGAAGATGTTCCTGAATCGAATGATAACTTAAGAATTATATTAGAAAAACTCAAGTTACAATATGTCAATTTTTTTGTAGCATTTGGTTTAAAGTGCGCTAATGCTGTGTTTGGTCTATCAGGTCATGCAGGAAAAAGAGCATGCCTGTGGTGTGAAGGTTTGAAAAATGGAGAATGTGGAAAGTTAAGAACTCTTGGAAATCTTGATTATTGGTATGAAAAATACAGTGTCGAAAATAAATCTAAAAAATCTAACATGCAACAATATATGAATGTGATATATCCAAGGATTCTCTATCTAGAGAAGAGTCCAGATACTCTAATTCAGCATTTGGTACCACCTCCTGAATTACATCTTTTGATTGGAGTTGTATCTACTTTAGGATGTATAGTTATGGATATTTGGCCTGAATTTGATGACTGTCTGAAAACTAAAAGTGTTTATCAGAGAGGGTATCAAGGTAGAGGTTGGGACGGAAATAATTCTAACAAGATCCTGAAAAACCTGGATGAACTTGATAAAGTAGTAGCATCTCAGGTTCCTCAACTGATACCTATAATTCAGTGTTTAAAAGACTTTAAAATAGTGAAAGATTCCTGTTATGGTCAACTTCTTTTGACAGAGTATAAAATGGCATTTACTGTGTTTAAAAATTCTTTCTTTTCTACCCAAGAGCTTGCACAGGCTCTAGGGAAAAAATGTTCTTTAAGCTGGAAGTTTCACATCTTGCTGTGTCATGTTCAACCCTTTGTCAAACACCATAACTGTGGTCTAGCTAAGTTTGCTGAACAGTGTGGAGAGGCTATTCATTCTAAATTTAAACCTACCTGGAGTAGATATAAACATGCAGAAGACCATGCTCAACATGGAGAACAACTGTTATCCTCTGTAATAAATTTCAATGAAAGAAGACTTTAATTTATCTTTAACTTTGAAATGTTGCTTTATCTTTAACTTTGAAATGTATATTTGGATTGTGTAACAAATATAAATTAATATTGCAAATATTAATATTAATTAAAGTCTTTATTTGTAACAGGCATCTAATATGTTTCAATGGACTTAGGGCCCCGTCAATTTTATCTTTTTTCTTTATTTGTGAATCTTAGTTCTTTGTTTTGATTTTAAAACACTTATTTCATTTTGTATAAGACAAATATCATAAATTAACAAATTTTTTTTATAATGGGCATCTAAAATGCTTCAATGGGGGTAGGGCCCCTCAATTTTATTTTTTTGTGTCCTTTGTAATCCTCAGGACTTTTTTCCGACTTTTATAGTTTAAAAACTTTATATTCTATTTTTATAAGACACATATTCTTAATTAATTTATATATTTTTTGTAATAGGCACCTAAAATGGTCAAATGGGCATCAGGCCCCTCAATTTATCTTTTTGCATCATTTGTGATCCTTAGCACTTTTTTCGGATTTTAAAAACGCTAGATTCTACTTTTATAAAACAAATACTCTTATATAAAAAAAGTTTCGTTTAAGTGACACGACAAAAAACCTGGCGGTCTCTTGGGCCAACCGTGATATATATATATATATATATATATATATATATATATATATATATATATATATATATATATATATATATATATATATGCTGGTAGTAACTTACTGCACAGTAATTTACTCCCAAAAAAACATCTATTAATATACCTCTTCTTTTTTTAATTTTTTTTGTCATATTATCATCCTCTTCTTCAGATTCCTTTTGTTGTTCTTTATCCGAATCTTCTTTATCTATATTTTTTAAAAGTTCTTTCTTTTTTTTTCCACCTCTTACTTTTTTATTCTTTACTTCGGTCACAGAATTTTTTTGTCCTTCGGATTTTGTTTCATCATCAGAATTTTCTCCAATTGCTTGCTTCAAAGATTCCAATTTATTAACTTTTTTCTTATTTACTTTTGCACTTTTAGATTTTACTTCTTCGGAGGTATCAACTGTATCATCATCGTCTTTGGAATTCTTTTTTTTGCCCATTCCAACTTTTTTATTTTTTATTTAAAAAATAAAAAATGAAAGAAAAAATTACAACTATATATAATTTATAAAAATTAAAAGTTAATACATAAAAGCATAAAGTAAATTTTTTATAAATATTTATTCCCAAAGTAGAAAGTTAAAGTTACAAAGAAAATAATTTTCCTCACCAAAATTAAAATAAATAAAAAAAAAAACTAATTAGAATGAAAATTAAAAAGAATTAAGAGGGCTGAAAAACTTAGAAAAAAAAAGTGTATTGAGCAATAGTCAAAATTAGGCAATACTATTATATAAAGAAAAATTTGAAATAATTAGACATGCAAACCAAGATTGTTTGCAGGCGCAAAAATAAGTTTCTCCTAAGGTGAGTAAGTGATAAGTGAGCTCAAATGTTAGTCACATTAAATCCTCAGTTGATGTAGCAGCACTCTGTTGCAAATCAAACTATAAGATAGTTGATGTAGCAGCACTCAGTTTTGAGTGCTGCTATTTATGTAAGATATCTGACTATTTATGTAAGACATACAAAGGAGTACCGCTGTATCAACTATGGGCAACAATTTTTTTTAAAAAAAACAGATGGATTTTAGTCAATAATTGCATATCTATAGTATCGTTTATATACATATATATATATATATATATATATATATATATATATATATATATATATATATATATGTATATATATATATATATATATATATATATATATATATATTATATATATATATATATATATATATATATATATATATATACATATATATATATATATATATATATATATATATATATATATATATATATATATATATATATATATATATATATATATATATTATATATATACACTACCGACAAAAAGTTTGAGGCAGGGTAAAAATTTATGATTTCGAGATGTAAATACCCTTAAATTGTTTATTTTTTCGACTTCAATGAGTGTATTTATGTTTTAATTTATGATTCTAATATATCACTAGTAGATTAGAACTGTTTATAATATTTTAATCAACAAGGGATAGCTGATAAAGATTTGTGCCGCTGTAATAAAGAATAAAGGAGGATATTTTGACGAATCAAAAATTTAATTAAAATAACAATTATAATTAAGAATTTATAATAAAAAAATGTTTAATGTTTATTAGTTTTTGTATTCATTATCATTAAAGTACAAATCATATTAGAAAAAGTTTATTTATTTAGCAATTTTAAAAAACCTGCCTCAAACTTTTTGTCGGTAGTGTATATATATCAGCACTCGAAATAGTTTTTCAAAACTTGCCGATCAAATGTAACTTTTTGACAAAAACAGCTTATTTTCCCTTAAATTTTTCTAAATTTCCCTAAAAATAGCCGATCATTGATCGTTGATCGGCTGTTATTTCAAGCGCTGATATATATTATATATAAAAATTTATATATATATATATATATAATATATATATATATATATATATATATATATTTATATATATTATATATAAATATATATATATATATATATATATATATATATATATATATATATATATATTATATATATTATATATATATATATATATATATATTATATAAATTTTTATATATAATATATATATATAATACATATATATACATATATATATATATATATATATATATATATATATATATATATATATATATATATATATATATATTATATATATATATATATATGTATATATATATATATATGTATATATATATATATGTATATATATATATATATATATATATATATATATATATAATATATATATATATATGTATATATATATATATATATATATATATATATATATATATATATATATATATATATATATATATATATATATATATATATATATATATATATATATATATATATATATATATATATATATATATTTATATATATATATTTGTATATATAAATGTTTGTATATAGATTTCTTTTTCTTTTTTTTTTTTGTTAACGTACTTATAATTCATAATTCAGTAAACCTATATCTATAAACTATCAGTATATAAAAAAACCCTGGAGTTTAAGTGTTAAAACTAATTTAATTAATTATCACATATATCATGATTTCCTTGTAATAAAAATCGTATTGTCTCCTTGTAATACAACTTGTGTTACAAGGTACCTGAGCATTGCAGAGCATGTCAGTAAAAAATCTTCAAAATAATTCAAAGTTGGAATAGTCATTAATGAACAGTTAAACAACTTCTGTCTAAAGATGATTTTTTTTTTTTTTTTTTTTTTTTTTTTACTTGAGGCAAAGGAACCACGAGATAATTGCTAATGATAGTCGGAATTTTCAGATCTCTTTCGGTTTAATATACCCGCGTCGCGTTTGTTTGCGTTTTTTAAATGGAGTTTGATTTGCTGTATTTTTACAAAAAGCCACTTTTCCAGACGTTTAAATCTAGTATCGAGTTGTGTGATTTTTGTAATTGCAACTTTAATAGGTATAAAAGTCTTGCATTTCGCTAAGTAGTCCCTTGCATAATTTTCAAGATTTCAACAATTGAAACACGTAATTTTTTTTGTGCCGGACAAAATAGTTGTCTGGGAGAGTGACGATGTTGCCCCAACCATCACATTATCAGAGCTATCCATTTGTCGTGCCTCCTGAATTACTCGTTCAATTAGTATTAAGGATGACTTTATTCATATTTTATAATGTCTTATAATGTTTCTTTTTTATGTCTTCACAGGTAGCTAAGTTATCTGATGCGGACACCCATAGTTCTCACAGTGCAGAAAAAATCTCACAGTGCCGAAAAAGTAGAGAAAAATATGTTAATGTTATTGTTTTTATTTTGAATTTGTTTATAACCTTTGCAGTTATGTATATTCGTAGTTGACAGATGAACTAATCATGGTAGCCATTGAATGGTAGTGGCATGCCTGGCTAAAAAATTTGTTGTATTGTCGCGTTTATATATTTTAAAACGACTATTTGAGAGTTTTTTTAATCATAATTTTCTCACACAAAATCTTATTAATATTATTATATGCGCAAAATTAAAACCCCCATGATAATACTTTTTATTACAATAGCCATTAAAATAATAAAATTAAACGGTTTAATGGTTATTAAATAATAATCACTAAACAGTAAACATAAATTAATGTCTGACTTTAAAAACTCATACAATAATAATTCACTTAAACTAAAATGTAACAAAAAGTGCAATACAACAAAAAATAATAAAATATTTTTAAATATATAAAAATAAATTAATTTTCTAGATCCTACACATATTCAGTATAACTGTCCGCAGAGACGTATTTACGGGGGGGCCAGGGGGGGCTTTGGCCCCCGGGCGCCATGGTTTGACAGGGCGCCAGCTTTCAGAATGTTAGAATTTTAGAAAATTGTAAAATAGTCTATTTATATCATTTCACGAAAATTTTTATATTATTATTATGTTCAAATCATAGACCTACTTATCGACTTACTAAATATCTCTAGTTGATTTTAGAAAAATTTAGTTAGCAGAAGAAAATATCAATCAAAAGGAGATCAAATTAAACTTGCAAATTATACATAATTATGCGCCAATTATTCATCTAAAAACGTTGATTTGATACTGAAAGTCACGTGTCTAAACAAATTATTTATTTATTATAAATATTTTAATGATACGGTATGTAGCGATAGCTTAACGGTTAAGCTCATCACTCTGACGCTGGCGCTCCGAGGTCTACTCCTACGAGTGTTCTTATTTAATATACTATCTAATCTTGATATAAATAAAATTTATATTTTTTTTTGAATAAATGATTTATAATTTTTATTAATCAAATACTTGATCCTTATTTATTAATTAGTAAATAATATACTAGAAAAAAATAAATGGTGCGTTTTACCTAACATTTTCATTTTACTCTTAATTGACTTTATTAACAGAAATACTTAGGTATAGACACAGCTATTTACTTTTAAAAAATGAAATAATTCTTCAAAGATTCTCTTTACATTTTCTAAAAAAAAAAAACTCTTTAAAAATACTTTAAACTTTAAATAATCAGTTTGTTTTTTAATTTATTTTTATATAATTTGAAGTGATGAGCAGAATAAATTACGCATTAATTATATTAAATTAGCAATTTGACTTTGATCGCCTTTTTTGCTAACCATCTTGTATATACCACGTGTGCACAATATAATTTTGAATTTTTAAGATTGCTGTCAGTTTTTTTTATTGTTGGCCTAAGTATTTTGTTCTTCGGTATGTTGTCTGCTTAATCCCTTGTATTACAGTATACAGTCTTGAAAAAGGTAAATATTCGTATTTCGATTATTGTTTTTAGTTTTAGTATTAACATTATTGTTATCATATATATATGATAACAATATATATATAATACACACTTTTTAGGATTCTTATTTTAAAAAGCAATGATGATTCATAGTAAAAAGCTTAGTGGCGCAGAAAACCGAAAACGAACCCATGCAAAAAATGAAGCTCAAGCAAAAATACTTTTAAAGACTGCTAAGTTAGAAACATATTTTAGCTTTACAGATAAACAGCTTCACACATCGCCGGGTAAGTTTATTTAGCTAGAAAACCATACGTTTTATTAATTTTGCTTTCTAGCAAATATATATACATATAGGTACATATTGTTCTGTTATTTATTGTTTATACTTCATATTGTTATGTTATTTATTATTAAATGTAAATAATTTATATCTAAAATGTAGATATGTGTAGTAATCGTTATTTATGCTTTCAGTTGAAAATGTAAATAATACAAGCGATGAAAATGATCACAGCTTTATTGTTAATGAGAATAACCTATCAAATCCAGACGATTTAATATTAATATTATCAAGTAAGAGCTGTACTGAAACTAGTAAAACTCTATTGACTCCAGAATCCAAAGAACTAAATGAAACACCCTGTTTGTCCATGCATGAACATAACAAGCCCGAATGTTTATTGTAAAATCTTTATTTAAAATTTGATATAATTTATAAATAATATCTTTTGGTACATGCATGTTATACAAAATTTATTATATTTTTCTCTATAGAAACCAAAATGATCACAGATTCACTGTTAATAAAGATAATCTAACAAATCCAGACAATCTTATATTACTAAATAACAGCAGCACAGAAACGAGTAAAACTCTATTGTCTACAGAATCGGAAGAAATAAATGATACACCACGTTTGCCAATGGTTGAACATAACAGTCTTCCTAAACAAAGTATTGTTCCTGAGTAAGCTTTTTTTAATTTTTTTCATGGTAGGTTACAATTATAAACATGTACAAAGGTAGACTATTTTTTTAAGTCGCTTGTCATGTAAAATTATGCTGGAAATTAAATTATTAACAAATATAGTACACTCTGTACATTTTAAACGATACCTATATCCTCTAGTTATATTATATTATGCATTTATCTCTATTACCTAATGCTTGAATGTTTTTTTTATACAATTTGTTATAAACTTTGAATAATATTTTTTGGTTTTTGTATATTAAACAAATATATTTTCCCTTTAGAAATGATCCTGCCAATTGGATAAAAAATCAAGAAACGATAGATTATTTATCAATCAATGGATTTAACCAAAATTTAGAGAACAATAATTTCCAAAAGTCAAAAAGAATTTACACTCAAATAATTGGTGGGGTAAGACGTACTCGTTTTCGATATATGTCAAAAAGTATATTTATATCTACTCTTGTTAATGGTGAAAAAATTAACCGAACATTTTTGATTTACTCAGAAAGTAAAGGATCAATATTTTGTGCTCCCTGCTATTTATTTGGTGGCACTACATCGTTTGCCACAGTTGGTTTTTCAGATTGGAAAAAAGGAGAAGAAAAAATCAAGCGTCATGAAAATTCACAACACCACAAATTGTGTGTAATGAATATGAAAGAAAGAAAAGAAGTATTAAATCGAGTTGATCAAAAGCTAAAGTATCAAGTAGAAACAGAAATAAATTATTGGAAAAATGTATTGACAAGAGTTGTAGCTGTTGTGAAATCCCTTTCTTCTCGTGGAATGTCTTTTAGAGGTGATGATGACCGTTTTGGATCTGTTCATAATGGGAACTTTATGATGAGCTTAGAGCTTATTGCTCAGTTTGATCCTTTTTTAGCACAACACATTGAGAAGTTTGGAAATAAAGGAAAAGGTTCAACATCATACCTATCATTTAATATATATGAGCAGTTCATAAGTATAATGGCAGATAATGTTATTCAACAAATGGTGAAAGAAATAAAGGAAGCTAAATACTTTTCCATCAGTATTGATTCTACTCCTGACATTAGCCATGTAGATCAACTGTCATTCATTTTTCGGTATGTTCAAAAGAATGGCTGTCCGGTAGAAAGATTTTTAGGGTTTTTACCTAATTCTGGTCATAAATCTGAAGAATTAGCAGATGCTGTATTTTTAGTTTTAGAATCGCATGGATTAGATATTAATAATTGTCGTGGTCAAAGTTACGACAATGCGTCTAATATGTCTGGTAGATACACAGGACTTCAAGCTCGCATTAAAAAAGTTAATCCTTTAGCAACATTTGTACCATGCTCGGCACACTCTTTAAATCTTGTTGGTGAGTGCGCTGTGGACTGTTGTATTTATGCTTCTGAATTTTTTATTCTGCTTCAAAATATTTATAAATTTTTCAGTGCCTCTACTTATAGATGGGAAATACTTCAGAAGAATTTGATTAAAACAGAAAATGTATCTCTTAAAAAACTATCAGATACCAGATGGTCAGCAAGATCTGATGCAAGTATTAGTTTAAACAAAAATTGGATTGAAATAATTAATGCACTGTCTTTTATCAAAGATGATAAAACAGAAAAATCTATTACAAGATCAGAAGCTAACGGGCTATATTTAAAACTGGATAGTCTTGAAACAGCTATAATGGCCACATTATGGGGCGATATACTAGAGAGATTCAACAAAACTAGCAAACAATTGCAGTCAGTTGAGATTGATTTAGAAACAGTTGTAAGTTTATACGAATCTTTAATTCGATATGTATTAGATTTAAGGAGTATGTTTGATATCTATGAAGAGAGAGCAATAAATAAGTCAGGACACAAAACATATCGAAAAATACGCAAAAGAAAAAGAAAACTAACTGCAGATGAAAAAAGAGAAGAAGAAACAAATTTTGAAATTCGAGACTCTTTAAGAATTAATACATATTATGCTATAATTGATAAACTTCATTCTGAACTAGAAAGAAGAAAATTGTGCTATGATGAAGCCAATAAAAAATTTAACTTTTTATTTCAAATAATAAAACTTTCGCCATCAGAAGTTTACAAAAAAGCAGAGGTACTTCAAAATGTATATAAAAATGATCTTTCGTCTTCATTTGCTAACGAGTGTATACAATTCAGAAGTTATTTAATGAGTTTAACTGAAAACTTAAGACCTAAAACTATAATAGATGTTTATAAAATGATCAGAACTGAAAAACTTCAAGAGCTGTTTCCTTATGTAGATATAGCATTAAGAATATATCTATGCTGCCCAACGTCCAATTGTTCAGCCGAGAGATCGTTTTCAGCATTAAAGAGGGTTAAATCTTATTTGAGGTCGCGAATGACAAGTGATCGTCTTAATAGGTTAGCAATTCTATCTATAGAATCTGTACTTACCATAGATATGAACTTTAATGACATTATAAATACATTTGCAAAACAAAACTCACATAGAAAATTATAATTTTCTATAGTGATTAATATAACTTAATATATGTTGGTATAGAAAATGTTTTTTTTTTTAATGATCACCCCATATCAAAGTTGACATTATTCTTAAAAAAGGGCGCATAAAGGAACAGTGCCCCAGGGCGCCAAAAATTCAAATACGTCTCTGACTGTCCGATGGACAGTTATACTGAATATTTCTTTCAAAAGTTGAAAGAAAAGAAACTGGATCTCTATCAAAATATCGAATGACTTGTGATGATACTATCGAAGGTTTCTATAGAAAAGAGAAAGCTGAAAAGAAAGTCAAGTCTAGAAAGTAAAATTGAAAAAGAAGAGGAAAAGACTTCAAAGAATAAAGATTGTTTTAAGTCTTTTATTAGTAACAATGATTCAAATAGAACAAAATTGAACAATGAACCTGCTTTAAATAATAACTGGAAATAAAACTTTACGTCAGTTAGTAATACTAATGAAGCTTTTTAGAGATTTAATATTTCAACAGCTGTGACATCAGCAGTAGTTTCAGCTTTTCTTCAAGACCTCATTTTTGGTATTTTTCTGACACCTGATACATGCTATATGGCTCAAGGTCCTAAGAAAGTTGTTACACACGGAAAAAAAATTTCTACCTTATGGTAGGATATGTGATATAGACTCAGAGGCGTCCCGAAGGGGGCGTAGGAGGTGCCTAGTCCTCTACTAAATTTATCAGTCCGCAAATTGGACACTGAAGTCAGCAAAATAGCTTCTACTGTTGGCAGTCGGCAAATATAAGCCAATGAGAACTTTTTTTTTTTAAATCTTGGTCAACAAAGATTTTTTTTAGGCCTTACTTGGCAAAAAACAGATACCTGTAAGGTAGAAAATTGTATGACAAATGTTTTTAATATTACTTTTTACCTTAAAAGGAATAAAAGTGTACCTTAATTTTTTTTTTTTTTTTTTTTTTTTTAGTTTACAATTATTAATCGTAATATAACAATATATAAACTTGGTATCTGAAAGAAGATCCAAATGATCTTGTCGCCAGAACCATATAAAAGATATAATACGTGTATATATAATAAAATAAAATACAATTGATCAAATAACTAATAACAATGCAGAAGAAACAAAAACTGAAAATAATTTTACAAATTATCCAGAGTAAAAAAAAAGAATTTTACATTTCAAAAATATTTATATATATTGCCAGTAGAAAGAATATAGTTTTTTAATTTAGTTTAAAAAACGGAAAACGAAATTGACAAATCAAAATTTGGAACAACAACTTTGTTCCATAAATACGGTGCTCTATAGTTTATGCAAAATTGATTAAACTTTGTTTGACAAAAGGGTTCAATTAATAAATTATTATTTCGTAAAGCATATTTTTTTATAGCTTTATAAGTAAAAAGATCTTTGAAATTGGACAATGGTCGTTCACTTTTACTAAGAGTATATCACATATCCAACCCTTAGGTTGAAATTTTTACCTTTTTTTTTTGTAGAGCTAGGAAAGTAGTAATGAACAAAGAAAGTATTTCTAATCTATTTTAATGCTAAACTGTAATAAATTTCCTTTGAAGCACATTATTGTTATTCTAGATGGACCTAGAGCAATTCCACAAATAAAATTAGCATTTGTTTTATAACAATAGAAAATAGTGTTTATAAAATCTCTATGGTATACACCCATTTAAGCAATTTAGATGCCTGTTACAAAAAGAAAACAAAAGATAATCTTCTTATATATTTCCTATCTTGTTGTAAAGTGTATTATTAGAGTGTGTTATATACTTTAAAAACTAAATTATGCTTTGCATAATTAAAAAAAGTTAGATTTTTTTTTTTATTTATTTTTATTTTTTAATTTTTTGCCGTAGAAAGTTACAATTTATAAAATAACATAAATAATAAAACAAATGGCTAGAGCAAGAAGAAGACATCAGTTTGTCTTATCACCGAGCCCCATAGTGACTTCATTACAGGTCGTTTTTTACAACAAAATATATAAAATCGTGATAAATTGTTTGTGATAAAATATGTCAAAATGTGAAAAACTACGTTTTACAATTGATATAACTGTTTATATATAAATTCGTTTAGTAAAATAAATTTAGAACAAGTAAAAGTTAAAACAAATAAAAGAAATAAATTGTGCTAGTTTATTTTATACTAAAAAAGAAAAAGAAAATTTAAGTCCGTAGATAATAAAAAACGCTTTGATTCAGATTTGAACTGTTCAAGTGTATTTCTTTTGATGGAAACAATCTGGGGAAGAATTTTCCACAAATTAGGTCCGCGGTGTTGGATTGAGTATGAATTTAACTTTAATGTAAATTTTGGGATGACAAAGTTGTTATAAGAGAATCTAGTAGGGTATTTATGACTTATTTCGCTAAAATAGGGTTGAAATATCGGCGGAGATAGTCCATTTTTTATTTTGTACATAAACTGTATGTATATGGAGCTTCCACGACAAATTTTCATCCAAGACCACACCTAGAAAGTCTATAAAATTTTCTCTTTTTATATTAGTATTATTTATTTTAAGATCAGGTAGTTTAAGAGGAATATTTTCTTTTTTATTTGGTTTATGAAATAGGATGAACTTGGTTTTTTTGACATTCAAAGAGAGTTTGTTACACCTAAACCACTCATTTATTTTATGTAATTCTTTGTTAACTATGTTAAAAAGTGTCCTAATGTCTCTATGCGAATAAAACAAATTGGAGTCATCCGCAAACAAGATTAAATTTAATAAGTTTGATGTTGAATATAAATCATTTATATAGAGTAAAAATAATAATGGTCCCAAGATCGAGCCTTGGGGAACCCCTCAAGTTATGGCGCTATTTGTTGTTTTTGTTGTTTCATGCTGAATATATTGCTTTCGGTTTGATAAATAATCTTTAAACCAAAGTAAGTTATTATTTTTTACTCCATACACTACGAGTTTTTTTAGAAGAATGTCGTGATTTACGGTATCAAAAGCTTTAGAAAGATCAATAAAAACTCCTAGCGTAAAGCAATCATTACTAAATGCATTAGATATTTGATTAACTAGCTCAATTATAGCATGGTCGGTTGAGTGGTTTTTTTTAAATCCAAATTGTTTACCGTATAAAAAATTGTTTTCCGTCAAATAATTGTAAAGTCTATTATACATGACGCGTTCTAGTAATTGATAAAAAATGATATATATATATATATATATATATATATATATATATATATATATATATATATATATATATATATATATATATATATATATATATGTATCATTTTTATCAATTACTAGAATAAAAATATATATATATATATATATATATATATATATATATATATATATATATATATATATATTTATCAATTACTATAGTAATTGATAAATATATATATATATATATATATATATATATATATACATATATATATATATATACATATATATATATATATATATATATATATATATATATATATATATATATATATATATATATATATATATATATATATATATATATATATATAATACATATATAAAACCAAACAAATGTTTAATTATTGTAAATGATAAAGGGATTTCATTTATATTTAGTTTATCTTCATCTTCTTGAAACACCTCTACAAATAAACAAAATGGAAGATATAAAAACTTTTTGCCAGAGATTCATTAAGGCAGATTTTGCATAATTCATTCATCTTAGTATTTAAATAAGATGACTTAATATTTAAATAAGTTACTTTCTCTGCGTTTTTAATCAAGATATACTTATTGATGTTTGGAAAAATAGTTTTATTACAAGTTAAACAATTAAATTGAGTTGTCTGAAAATCTATTAAAAAACTACAAAACGCATTGCATTCTGTATCAAGAGTACTGAAAGTTATTGAATTATTTGGTTTTAATCTCATAACATAAAGAATCCGTATAGTTTTTACTCTATTCCATTCACAGCTTTTAATAAAAGAAACTATATCAAGTACACACTCGCGGAAAGTGTGGAATTTTTCTCCACACCGGTGTGTAGCTATCACTTTTAGACACAAGAGTGAAGTTATTTTGCACACTTTTGTGGAAATTAACTTTTTATAACTCGACTTTCCCAGCTAGCACATTAACGTTGGCCCAACGTTGGATCAACGTCGAAAAATTCGTTGGCCGATGGTCGGCAACTGACGTCGCCACAACGTGGATTTGGAAGTAAGCGCAATGTCGCAGCCAACTGTTGGGCTAACGTTGGCCCAAAGTCGACATCCGACGTTGGGCAAGCATCGAGTTCTAACGTTGGTCCAACGTAATATTATTATATATAAGAATCTTTTCAAGTTTGATTCATTTGATAAGCACGTGCTTACTATTTCATATGTAATGTTCATTAAAACTATTACATCGATTTTTTTCTTCAAATAAGTTTGAATAATTTTTTTTGTGATAAACGAAAATTGGTTTTTATGCTGATAAATGAAGCAACTTGGTTTCATAATAACATAGAAAACCAAATTTCTTGTAATAATAATTGTAATAACGTTAAAATATTCGTACAAATAATACACATATTAAAAAAATTAAAATAGTCTTTAATATGCTTGAGAGGAACTTTGACGTTCGAACGCTACTCATTATACGATTTGGCAGAAACCTCAGAACTTGCATCTTTTGTTTGATGAGCTTTTAGCCAAGGCCATAACTACTGTTAAAATTGTTACTATTACTAAGTAGTTTTAATGAAGATACACTTAATTTAAGTTTCATATTTTTTAGCAGAAGAGGCCTTTTAAAAAATTACTACTGATGATTTTTTGAAAGGCTTCTAGGGCTAAAAAATATTGAACTTAAATTTAGTTTAAGTATTAAAAATATTAAACTTAAATTTAGTTTTTAGCACAAAAGGCAATTCAAAAAATCACTATTGAAGATTTTGAAAGGCCTCTAGAGCTAAATATTAAACTTTAATTTAGTTTGAGTTTAACATCTTCAATAATTCCAACATTTGCTTTAAGACACTTATTCATTTGCACGGCAGCTGCTCAAAACAAGTTGGATAATAT